TTCGCATCTCTCGGCTACAAGGCTTATTCCGGTCGTTATGAACGAACTGGGCGCGAATGCAGCTGCGAATATTATATGTGCCGAGTTGATCAGAACTCGGGTGCACAGACGAGAAGTATTTGTTTTTTAGGGTTCCGTACCCAAAGGGTAAAACTCCGTAATACTCCGTGTATGTTCGTCTGTCACCAGGCTGTATCTCATGAACCGTGATAGTTTGACAGTCGAAATTTTCACAGATAATGTATTTCTGTTGCCGCTCTGACAACTAATACTAAAATACAGAATACAAAAATATTTAAGTGATATGATTTTCGTGCGCGAATCCGACTCGTTTGTCTTTCAAAAGCTGAGGTGAAATAAAGAAAAAGCTTTCTTCTTTCTCGCGTCCTTACCTTCGTTAATGGTATTGGCTAGATTTACGTCTACCCTCCATGGGAATCAACAACTATACGTGGTTCGCATAAATACTTGCCGCACGTACTTGTCGAATCGAACTCACCACTGCGGCTTCGGTGAGCAGTGGTGAGCTTAAATAAGCCAATAGCTTATCAACTGCGCCAATAGCTTATCAACTGCGCCAATAGCTTATCAACTGCGCCATCTAGTCATAAACAATCTAATGCAAAAATATATTTATATATCAATCAAACTTTCAGTACACTTTATATATCTGTTGCACTTGAATATAACCAAACAGGTTTAAGGTGTGGCAGGTATTCTGTTTAAGTTTTTATAGTGTACAGTTTGTTTTAATTGACTAAGGATTTAACCACAGACAAAGAGGTGCTTCCACCTCTTAGTAGAGGATAAAATATACAAATTATCGAAATGTATACTCGTGACGTGCTTTACTAAAACATGTTTATAAAATTTCTTCCCCAGCATACATTTTTAGTTAGCTTATGCCATCCAGCTACGCATCAAAGGTAAAAGGGATTATTCCAAATATTAATAGCATCATCCCACACTTTGACTAACATTGGTCGTACGCGATTGTTTCAATATTAAAACATATTTTATATATGGCTGCATCGAGCGTTTTAACTCCCGCCAACTATATGAGACCGTTGAACGTTTCTCAAGGTACGAATCAGCGATTCGCACACTAAAAAGCGTCGAATGCATCCCTCGGATGTGTCCGATGTATAGATATAATTAAATAAGGCCCGCGTGCGCACAATCGGGCACGGCCTGCGTGCGTTCGGCGCCGGGGGAACGTATAATTCTAACTCATAAATTTCAGCCACAAATAATGCATATCCAGACGCGATCGGGCCGTGATTGATGTCAAGTTGTAGCATTACAGCGGTTTAAGTTGCGCTATGCGCTTAGCGCGATTCCGCTTATTTAAAATCGGACCGAAATAGATTTGATATTTATGTTCTCGTAATCGCGCCCCGCGTTATTATAACAGATTGCCCCTTGGCGGCTTTTGTTCCTTTTCGACGCTCGCGGTAAGCGATCGGTCAGCGATCTCGTTTGCGTCAGCATTCGGCCCGTGACCGAGAGTCCTGGTCGGAGTTAGTGCATTACTTGCTACTTTCATGGTACAGATCGCGTTCAAAACCCGCGGACTAAAATGGTTATTTGAAAGATATGTTGGGCTAATTATTACGAGGACTTACAAGTACATAATTAGCCCAACACATCCTGTTTCCTTTTTTATCCGTCATCAATACATCTATTTGTTTACATCATTCGTTGCACAATTAAAAAAAGTTTTTAAAAGCCTAATGAGTAGAGTAATTTAACAGCCGATACATGTCCCACTGCTGGGTAAAAGCTTCCACTGTACAGAGGTTATCAGGGCATAGTCCACCACGCGTTCCCACTGCGGATTGGAGAACTCCACATATCTTCGAAATATCTTTTTTTCTCATTATTTCACCGTTGAGCACGTGATAAGCCGGCACTTAAAATTAACAATGTCATTGGTGCCCGCACCCGGGATCGAAATCAGGTCGCTAGAGTAGAACGAAAGGCGAGCGCCCGGATACTAAGATATCACGGATCAAAAGCTAGGCTAACACTAACTATCCTCGATGTCAAATCGATGTATCCGAATGTAAATGGTAAGTGCACAAAAGGACGCATCAAACATCGTGAAAAAAGCGGAGCTCCGTATATACCTAGGACACGATCCACAGCCGAAATGGCGAAAATATTGATTCATGTGTGATTGATGAACATACTCACTCAACATACTTTACTATGAATGACATTAGCGATAATATCTTTCACTGACATGAATGCCTTAAATTATTTGCTGTTAAATATTTTTGCATTAATTGTCTCGATTATTCTTGTATTTAGCTGAAACAATGCTGTGTCACCTAAAAAGGTACATCAGAACTTTTTTTTAATCTTATTGTTTAAACGTGAAATGCATGTACTGCTGGTGTCCTTTAAATAAATAAATAAATAAATAAATAAATGCCTTTATTATTATTGACTTTAGAAATACGTATATAATTTGACCTTCTATATCGTAGGGTGTAGCTGTTAATTATAATGCCGTACAGTGAAATAAAGCCTCAATTCTATAGTCAATAGTTTTGTGGTTAACTCACTTTAGCTTATCATAATGGCAACTCATTGAATTTTGGCGCGACAATCACATCAAAATCAGTATCATATTTTAGTATGTGCGCGTACGGATTCGAATTTAACGAATCTGTTACGTTAATATCCTAACGCCCGGTTTCTGACACACTGATATTTATATATTATGAGATTTTCTAAGACATTACTACTATTTTACTGAAAAAAATTGCAGCAGTCACATTTTTTCGATGAAATTGTACATAATGATAAAAAAAATAATGTAAATCATACCACATTTTGGTGATTTTTTTACTTTTATAAATAACTAACTGCAGCCCGTTTGGGGTGAACCACCCTTAACATTTAGGGAGATGAAAATTAGATGTTGTCCGATTCTCCGCCCTGGCCGATATGCACACAAAATTTCACAAAAATCGGTTGAACACTGTAACACGAGAATTTTATATATTAGAATTAGTGTGGATTACAATGAAATATTATTGTATTTGTTTAACGTTGAAAGAAACAGTTAGCAAACTATTGGTAAATTAAGCAAGCTTTCATTATTTAAATTTTTTAAATAATTTCTTCTAATAATTTAAATATTTAATATTCTCTCTATTAACTCTATTTAAATATTAAATAAATATTAAAATAAAAATAAATCATTTTTTATTTAATTGTTTTTAAGACGTATTTAGCCTTTCGAAATTTTAAGAAAAACCGGTGTGAGATTGCTTGGTCAGCTTTTAAGGTTGCCAGAAATCGTTATAACAGGATGGTAAGGGCTGCGAAACGACGACATATCCATGCTGGTGTTCTCCAGTCTTCATCGGCTAAAATATGGAAGTTTCTCAATTCTCTCGGCTTCGGAACTCAACCTTTGACGCAACCTCTCCATTTACCTATCAACGACCTTAATTCTTTCTTTACGTCTGTCCCTTCTCTCAGTATGTTGTCAAGAGTTCCACAATTTCACTAATTAATTCCATGCCTGTTCCAGATATCGATCCTTTTGATTTGTCCCCTGTAACAACTATGGTAGTCCACAAAACTATACTTTCAATCAAATCGAATGCGACTGGGTACGACGACATCAGTCGAACGATGATTGTTCGTATTATGGATCAAATCCTTCCCATTTTAACCCACATTATTAACTTCTCTCTTACCTCTGGTGCTTTCCCTGATATGTGGCGTAAAGCTTCTGTAACACCAATTCCCAAAATTGCAACTCCCTCTTTACCTTCTCATTATAGACCCATTAGTATTCTTCCCTATCTATCCAAAATTATTGAGGCTATCGTCCATAAACAACTTTCTGATTTCGTCCACAAGAATAATATTTTAAACGAGTTTCAATCCGGCTTCCGGGCTGGTCATAGCACTACTACTGCACTGTTGAAAATTGTGGACGATGTCAGGAAAGGAATAGAGGATGCTAAATTTACAATGTTTAGTTTTAATTGATTTTTCTAATGCTTTCAATACTGTCAATCACGATATCCTTCTTGCTGTCCTTAATCATTTCAGACTCTCTTCTTCAGCCCAGCAATGGTTTTCTTCTTATCTACGCGGACGCCAGCAGGCCATCCGCTCTGATGGAAATATCTCCGATTGGGCAGACCTGACTGCTGGTGTCCCGCAAGGGGGCATCATTTCTCCCTTACTTTTTAGTATTTTTATTGACCTCATCACTCTACGTCTGAAAAGCTCTTACCATCTTTATGCTGATGATTTGCAGCTATATGTTCAAGGAACTACTGACGAGCTCAACAAATCTATTGCAGGCATTAATGCTGACCTGGACCAGATTCGGGACTGGTCAAACAGGTTTGGCGTCGCTGTAAATCCATCTAAGTGTCAGGCAATCATTATTGGCAGTTCTCATTGGATAAATTCACTAGACCACAAACTTATTTCACCTGTTGTCTTTAATGGCACATGTATGCCTTTCTCACCACAAGTTAAAAACTTAGGGCTAATTATTGACAACAGCTTATCGTGGACATCTCATGTTACAAATATTTGCTGTAAGGTGAATAATACACTAAGATGTCTGTTCCGCTATAAGTATTTTCTCCCCTCGTGCACTAAACTGTTGCTGGTACAGACGTTGATGCTGCCGATAATTGATTATGCTGATGTTTGTTACTCGGATGCAAATCAGAATCTTCTTAATAAGCTTGACCAACTCCTCAATAATTGTATAAGGTTCATATATGGACTTCGAAAATTTGACCACATTTCCCATTTTCGAAGTCAGCTAAATTGGTTGCAGATTCGCGAGCGTAGAAACAGTCACATTCTTCGTACCCTATTTTCTATCCTCTTTGATCCCATCGTTCCCAACTATCTGAAACAAAAATTTTCCTTCCAATCTGATGCTCACTCTCGCAACCTTCGCTCTGATCACAATCTCTCCCTTCATATTTCTCTTTATCGTTCCCGCCTTATGTCCGCGCCTTTAGACGCTCCCACACATCATGAACTGTTCCTTCGTCCTTGATATGAACATAAAGCGATGAATCGATGGTCATAATTAGCTTCGCTTTCGCCTTCTGCGCTTCAACGACAGGGACGGCCTGCTCAATTCGTTTAACGTTGATGTCCACTCCTTCTAGGATGAGAAAATTCTCTGCAGCAAATGCCCACTCATCATAATTTTCTCGACCCTTAAGCTTCGGTACGTTAATAATATAGCTGGCGGCCATTTGTTCAAGAACGTGACTTTTCGAGAAACGAGTTGAAACTTACTGCACAGTTCTTAATCTGAACAAATCTGGTATATAGAAACAATACACGAACGAGTAACCGCTGAAAACACGATATTTTTCAATTTATAGATCGAAGAAAACTTTATTTTTGTTCTGAAATACGTGACTGGACCCATAACCTAATAAAACGCAGCAAGAAGTTTTGACAGACTAAAAAATTTATTAAATGACAGATTACATATATCCAGATAAGGTGGCGCCACATGACTTGTTTTGAACATTTCAATATTTATATACTAATACAACTCCTTTCAAGGTCAAGCTGTACGGCTCTGGAACTCGCTACCCATCTCAATCAGAAATTGTCTGACTAAAGAGAGTTTTAAACGTGCTGTCTTTAAATTTTATTTAGATAATCGACAATGTTGAACACTGACTTTCCACTTCTTGACATTATTCTAAAATATCTAATACTATATATTTGTGTATGTATATTTGTATATGTATATTTGTATTATATATATATATATATATATATATATATTAGTATGTGTATATTTATGTAATATGTATATAATATTTTATATATTATCATGTTCGTAATATCTCATCTGGCTCTTTCGCACCTCCTTATTCTCTCTGCTTATTTGTCGGTTGACTGGTAGTGGTGTTAAATAATTGTACGTTATTGTGCATAAAGTTTTTAAATAAATAAATAATTTTTTTTATTAATTTTAATCTTCTTGGAACTGAAAGGAGAATATGTTATTTTTAAAATTGTCGTGCTCTATAATAATATTTGTCGATCATTAATTCAATAAAAATAAAATATAAGTACATGATTTAAAAAAAATTATATATCTCTCACAATATTACCTATAGCACCCCACATCTCACCAGACACCGCCACAAGCAGGGCTAGTATAAGTATACAGCGCCTTAATAACGGATCTAAATCCGTTACCATAATACTACATAAAAGGCTATCCTTTAGAGAATTTCGTTAAAAGCTTTATTGTTTCAAAATGTCTATAAGTTCAAAGACGAACAAAAATAATAGTCACTATTATTAATGACAATCCGTCACGTTGTTTTAAATGTCCGATGCCTAGTTGACAGAGATTATGGCGAGAAGAAATTTAATTTAGGGGCTAATTTAGGGGAGCTTTTAAACTAAAGATCGCGTACTTAGGTAGAATAGGGGATGTCGATGGCTCTGCGCATTAGCGGCGTTTCAAGGATCCTCGCAGTCCGCGCCTGGATTAGCCTCCGGTAATTCATGCCAACGACAGAAACGCCCGTTTAAAATCAAGTCCTGTTTGTGTCGCGCACCGAGGGAGGCGAACGGATGTAGTGCTGATTTTTAATTATCGCCTCAATTAGGCCATTGGTCTCAGTCTGGATTGATTGACGTTCAACGTACATCGCATTGCGGGCGCGAATTTACAGCGGCACTATACTGTACATTGCATAACTAACAACAGAAAAATATCTTACATAATTCGATGGTGTTCATTATCAAACGCAGTTTCCTGTGAAACTTCATTTACCTACGTAAATTAGAGTAAACGAATATATAACGTATTTGCGTAAACTTTAATGACGACAAGAATTTATTTATCAAGACATAAAGGCAAAGAAAACACCAACGTCGGCTTTGTGAGTTGCTTAAAAAAAGTGCAATCTCGCAATCGATTTCATAGGCAGCCAATCCTTGCAGGGGGGGGGGGGGGGGGGGGGGGGGGGGTCGATCCTCGACTTCTAATTAACAACCGGACAATACTTCTTATTTTCGGCTTCGTTAACGCCTTTCAGGGCGCGCGTCAGCGGAGTTCTGTGATTGAAATCCGGAGGAGTTTTGTTTTGTCCATTGTCGAAGTACGACGCGGCGGTGCAGCGGCCGTTATTACCTATAACTAGGCATTGCAACATTTCCCCCCAGGAGGCGTTTTCCACTTTGCACGTTTCAAAGGAAGTTTTTTTTCTTTTTTGCTTTTCTTTAAACATTGCCTTTACTCTAGGATGAAATTATCCTGCTTTTAAAGGACGTGAATTTGAAGTGGACAAACACCGTGATGCGAAAGAACTATCTGTGGGTCACATAAATAGTTGTCCCATGTGGGGTTGAACCCACGACCCCGACGCCGAAGCCAATAACTAGGCAACTGCGCCACGCATTGGCTTCGGCGTCGAATGATTCCTATTAGCGACCTTTTCAATTCTGCCTAAAATGTACGATACCGTAGCGTATTTTGGCAGTATACATGTTGATTTATCAAGTGATGCTTCGGGAACTGCTTATATTTAGATAATGTAATAAATCCACACGACCACGCAGCGGTTCTTGCTGTTACACGAATAGAAAACTGGTGCGGAGAAGTGTCACGGCGTCAGAAGACCAGCGTGAATCGGAAGCCGAAGTATACCTACGTTAGCGTTTCGACCGATGCATGAATGGAATAACAATAATATAAGGGACCCTTACTTCCAATTGCGTCACGTTGGCGTTGAATACCATTAACAAATGACTTTGGGCCGCGGTAATCAGGTGTGCAGTGTGCTGGCTTGTCAGCGACCTTCTTTCAGAAAAAAATCAATGAACATTGATGAATAACATATGCTCATGAATATAAAAGTATTTCACCGACGGCCTAATGTTTGTCTTAACAGATTATATACCGCGCCCCCGCCGTACAGCTATACAAACAATTTGCGCACATGAGGAGCACTCGTGCGGGCCGCTCCCTAAAACCGCGCGTAACGAAATCCCGGCCAAATTAACTGCGGAACCCCGCGGCGCCACGGATGAATTTGAGCAGTCGCTACACATCGCAACTCCCCCCGACCGCAGGCCAAGCCCCGCGGACCCCTAATATGCCCTAAAAACATTAAAATCATATAAAACCGTTCGCGCCGCCCGCCGCGTACTGATTGAGGAGTGCGCCGAATGTTCGCTTTAGAAATAACAATCAAGCATTCTCAATCTAAACCAGCGTGAAACGTGATTTTATTAAACTGTATTGTCAATTGTCAGTAGTTACAAAAACGACCGATGCAACTTTTTCGCGTGTCGCTATTGTGTTTCTCATTTCAATAGTTAACGGTGACATATTTAACTCAGCAGAATCTCTTAAATTGGGAATAATAATCTCTAATGACAACAGACGCGGACAGTATTTAATCGGGGCATTAGAAGTGAGAGTAGAGAAGCGAGTTAGTAATCGCGGGAGTACTGTTAGTAATTTCCAAGCTAAATTCATTACATAATAATTTCTTGTATTTACGCGATTACACATTATAAATGAAACTAATTTTACGGATTTATCGCGTTTATTTTTTAATTTTAATTCCCGACGTTTCGAACCCTTTACAGCGTTCATGGTCACGGGACAGACTGAGGTGTTAGACGTCTGATTGTCATAGTTAACCCGGGCTACCGTCAGTTTTTGAATTATTAATTTTGTGTCCGATCTATGCAGAGGGAGCTAATTGTATCTTGTCTTGCAGTAGTGGTTCGTTTGGGCCTAGATTTAATTTTATTGATGACAGGATCCCAAGCTGATGGTAGTACCCAACCTTCTTCTCTATTGAAATTAGGGTGTTTTTTAATTTCAATAGCCTCGCGAATCATCCTTGGGAGGAATCGGTGTTCTTTTGCAAGGATCTGTGGTTTGTCAAACCTGATGTAGTGGTTGGGCCTATTCAAAATGTGCTCACAAACTGCAGACTTGTTCAATCTATTGTGTTTGATGTCAGCTATATGTTCTTTCACGCGGGTTTTTATTGCTCTTTTCGTTTGACCTATGTAAGAGAGCCCACATTCACAGCCAAGTTTGTACACTCCTGGATCTTGCAGAGGGATATTACACTTGACAGATGGTAAAAACTGACTAATCTTCTTCAGCGGCTTGTAGAATGTATTAATTGAAGCCTGCTTTAAGATATAGCCAATCTTGTCGGTGACTCCTCTGACGTATGGTAGAACAGCAGGTACTCGCTCCACTGTGGCTGGTTTCACTCGGTCACTGTGACGTAGGCGCGGTGCTCGAAGTTTGTTGTCATGCAGAACTTGCTTGACATGTTGAAGCGTCGGGAATTAAAATTAAAAATAAACGCGATAAATCCGTAAAATTAGTTTCATTTATAAATTCATTACTTCTAAATAATGAATAATTTTAAGAAAAAGTTAGTTTTTTTTTTTTTTTAATTTTATTAAATGAATAATTGTTTCATACATATTTTTTATTAATTTATGCATATTATAGTGGTTCAACCGACCCATTTTAAAATTACATTACGGGTATGCTTAAATAAGTCCGATACTAACACGAAATATCTTACTAGGTAGGTACTGTAGTCGGTCTAGAAAATTACTTAAGCGAAACGCACCTAAATAGGATCGGCATTGCCGGTTTCTGCTAGCCAAGTTGCACGTCAATCGCTTGATATTCGATTAATGGAAATTTCCAAGCTGGAACGTAGTGTTGCTAAAATCGAAAATTTCAGCCGAATTTATAAAGTACGAAATCGTGGACCCTTCTACAGATTTAATGAGATACGATAATATTTCTGATAACTTTATTGCCAGTAAATAAAATAAAATTAGAACGCATGTGTTCGTTATATATTATTTTCACACTGATCATCTGTTAAAATCCATAGAAAAAATTATTAGAATTCGTAAATCTAATACAATTTAAATTCAGTTTATTCTTATTTCGAAATAAATTATACGCGTTTTAATTAAAAAAAATATTTAATTTAACAGATGTACAAAATAATTTGGGCACCATGAATAATTTCGACAAGTTTGCCAGATGTTCAGTTCATGTGATTTGATTAATAGATATATTTGATGTTTTTGATAATAACTAAAAGGAAAAGTTATTAAGCTATTAAGTTACGATTTTTAATTTAAATTCAGGTAAAGTTTTTCCAAAACCATTTTATTACGGCTGATTATAATTATTGATATCATAATTAAAATGAATTTAATACAATATGAAGTAATTGAGTATTTAAAAAATGTAATATAGTACAGTACCTAAAGTGATTTATTTTTAGGTGACGAATTTAGTATCATCAATGTAGGAAAATGATACCTATTCGTAACTCTAAAACTGACACATATTACGTGAAAGTATTACCTTGGGTATGAAAAAAAAGATCAAAGGAAATAACAAGTGCTGAATGGTTGGGACGACCTGCATAATTTATTAAACATTTAATTTATTTCTCATAATTACGCCAACAGTGAAAAATCAAGAAATTACAAGAAAACACCACCAAACTAATAAACTGTTTGAGTCCACTGCTGGACTGCCTCCCCCGCACACTGCCACGAAGCACGATAAAAAAATACATGAAATCTATAAAAAAAACGTTACCACGAAGCATATATACTACATATATACTATAAATGAAACTAATTTTTACGGATTTTATCGCGTTTATTTTTAATTTTAATTCCCGACGTTTCGAACCCGATAAAAAAATACATGAAATCTATAAAAAAACGTTACACACACTACCATGTATTATACACGCACGCATATATACTACATATATACTATAAATGAAACTAATTTTACGGATTTATCGCGTTTATTTTTAATTTTAATTCCCGACGTTTCGAACCCTTTACAGCGTTCATGGTCCATGAACGCTGTAAAGGGTTCGAAACGTCGGGAATTAAAATTAAAAATAAACGCGATAAATCCGTAAAATTAGTTTCATTTATAATGTGTAATCGCGTAAATACAAGAAATTATTATACATATATACTATTTTGTCTCTTGTTAAAATCTGTGGTCAAATTTAAATTAGATTAATGTTCAAAGTTACAATTTAAATCTAACTTACAATTTAAATTAACTATAGTCGAATTTCGACCACTGGGCGGCCACGATGAATATTACAACGATGAATATTGAATTAATAATTAATCATCAATTCCACCAGTTGCATGAGAAAATTCCGATGGCGTGTAAACGTCCAAGTTTTTCACTCGGTTCGAAGTGAATAACGAGATGTCTAATTCGCACCGCTCATTAGGCGACATAAAGGAGCAATTTTAAATATTTACATAATCGATGCTAATTGCGAGGGCATAAAGATTAAATAAAATGGAAAATTAACACAATAAGCTTAATCGAATGGGTGTTTGTTCAGCTGCCTATAATATCGTCTGCGTTAACGCTACCACGTAAACGGTATTAGCGGCAACTGACCGATATTTACTATCTACTATTACGACTACAGTTGCACTAATGGGCAGGTCCGTCCGGGTAAGTACCACGAACTAACAGAACACAGGATTGTAGGGGAAGTATCATACGTCTTAGTTTCGTCTGGTGGGTGAGGTAGCCGGGGAACACTTTATTAAAAGGCGGCATCGCATCTGCAACCCTACGGGTGTTGCAAATGTCCAAAGGGGCGGTTATCACTTAACATCATGTGAACGGACAGCCCGATGCCATCTTCTCACTTAACAAAAGCGTTATTACTACGTTTCACACAGGGTTGCTAGATGGTTCAGCGCAAGACACTCGTCTAATTTATATTTGTATTTTGTATTGGGTTCTTCGTTCAATTCTTAATCGAGGAGATCATTTATATATTACCCTGGACGTCTTATAAAGAACGTATGACATCCTCTCAAATGAAGAGTAGAACAGTGGTGAATAGATAGTGAATCATAAACGATGATCTAGGACGCAGGGTCCACCATGAATATTGAAAGGGGGAAAAGATAACAGGCAAAGGGCTCTTAATAAAGGGGTCGATCAGGATGTTGTCATGATCGTTCACCAATGAGGTTTCACTGAAGATGACGGATGTCCATACTGCGCGGCGTTTAAAAATCGGCCAAGTGCGAGTCGGATTCACGCTCGAACGGTTCCGTGCCATTTTCTATAAAAATCATGTCTGTTATATGTGAGCCGCACTTTAATATTTTTATTCAATCTTATCCTTTAAACGAGCAATTCTTATATATAATCGGAATCTCGGAAACGGCTCCAGCGATTTTCATGAAATTTAGTATGTGCATAGATTCGGGGGCGAAAAATCGATCTAGATAGGTTTCATTTTTAGAAAATGTCCTTTTATCCATGTCTTCAGGGAATGAAAAATATAATTCGAATATGACGTTAAATTTCGCCGCAAGAGAAAATGTCATAATAGCTCGGTCGGTAATCGGGCGGCCCCAAAACAGACGGCCGTGGTTCGCGTCACGATCATTTACACATTTATTTAACTTTTTTTTGATTCCAGATCATTGCTTTCTTTACTTTTAATTTTTTGTCGATTTGTTATTTGATTATTTTTTCCCTTTTTTTTAAAGTTCTTTCTTTTGTGAAAAACATCAGTTCATATTTTCTTATTATTACGTAGGTAAGATCGAAAAATATTATGCATATTTCATTACTCAGTAATTTGTATCTTTTCCAAAATACACGATTTACCAAAAAAAACAAACCGAGCAAAGCTCGGTCCGCCGGGTACTTTTCTTTATATGTATAGCGACCACAAAAATACATCATCTATGAAAATTTCAACTGCCTAACTATCACGGTTGATGATATACAGCCTGATTCCAGATGGGCAGACAGAGAGACAGACAGCGAAGTCTTAGTAATAGGGTTCCCGTTTTAGCTTTTGGACGCGGAACCCTATAAAATGTTCCGCTTTTCTTTATATGACATATTTAGTCTCCTGAGTACTGACGTAGTAAATTTAGAACAACCAAAAAAATAAAATATTTCGCCAAAGTAAATCAGTTTAGCATCGAGTTTTTTACGTGAAACGAAACGTATTTTTTAGTTCATTATAAAAAAATATCTTCTCACTCAGTCAATTCTGTCAAACC